TATCCAGTGCGCCACCGGGCCGGCCCCAAGAACTGCAGTTCTTTATATGCATTTTCTTTTTGCCTTTCTGGATTCAGCTGTTCAGGGTTGAACGGCACAATTATTTTAAATTTAGAAAAAACGCATAGTACAAAATAGGACTTGGTTATTCACATTTGGAAATCATAATTTCCTTTTTTTTTTTCTGAATTTGTGGTAAATGGTGAGGTCTTGATATGATGAAGTTGCAAGCCAATAAAGAAAAAGTAAATTAAGAAACGAATTATTTCAAAGCATGAAGTGAGGCAACTATCCTCTCACTTCATGAGTCAAAAAGTTTATTGGGGATGACTTTTGATATTATCTTCTATACTGGTTTAGAGCAAACCTGGAATATCAACACCAAACCTGAAGTTCAACTGTAGCAACAATGTTGCCAGCTACATTCTAGAGAAATTTCTAGCCACATCCAGGCAAGGGATGGAGCCAGCTGACACAGGGTCGGGGTCCCTGAGAAGGGGCCATGAGCCTTAGCCCCGCCACCACCCCAGCCCCACATCCAGGCAAGCAACAGAGCCAGCTGATGCAGTTGGGGAGGGGTCCTGAGATGGTGGCCATGGGCCTTAGCCCCGCCCCCACCCACAACCAGATCTTAGGAAGTACTTACCATGTGTGTGTGTTTGGGATGTGTGACTTACCTGCTCATATCCTTCACCAAATTTCTACTTAGATTTTTCTAATTCATTTTTAAGAGTTCTTTTTGCAATAAGGTTGTTAATCTTTGTGTGTATAAAGAAAAAAAGAATAATAGTTACTAGAGGCTTGGAGGGGCAAGGGTGGGGGGGGAGGGTGAGGTGAACTAATTGGGGCAAAACTATGCTATCTACCGTTAGTGAATCATTGTGCAGTATATGCATGTATTGAAACAATACACTGCCCCACAAAAATAAATATAAATAAAAATTTTTTAAAAACTTGCATTTTAGGGCTAGCCTGTGGCTCACTTGGGAGGGAGAGTGTGGTGCTGATAACACCAAGGCCACGGGTTCAGATCCTATATAGGGATGGCCGGTTAGCTCACTGGCTGAGCATGTTGCTGACAACACCAAGCCAAGGTTAAGATTCCCTTACCGGTCATCTTTTTAAAACAAATAAAAAAATAAAAATAAAAACTTTCATTTCTAAATAGGTTATTTGCATATGACTTGATTTTATAATAGAATGCAAGATAGGCGTTATAGAGCTTAGTGTAAATCCCTGTGTTTAAAAATTCATATAGGCCATTTACTATACTATAATTTCACACAAACTAAGAAATGTGGTGTAGAATTCTCTCTACATATTTCATAGATAGTTTTTAGTTTCACCTTTTAAAACTTTCCAAGCACAAGAAATAGAATTAAGAACTTCCTGGATGGTGTTTATGAACTCAGAGCTGGAAACCGTTCTTCAACATGGGTGAGTTATGGAGGTTTTGAAATACGTCTCATCCAAATGATATATGTACAATGTAAAAATTTGAAATCGGAAGACTAAGTGAGATTTAATTCTTACTAGATGAATTTAATGACTGCTTCTATTTGGCTCCCCTTTGCTTCTGAAATGTTATCTCTTCTTTCCCCCAAATACTATATTCTTATCAAGAGTCAATCAGATTAATTTTAAAAAACAGCTGTTTACTTTCAGTTGCACTTCAAACTCTGCAAACTACTCATTGAGTGCTACATATTTGTGCGGCCAAAATTTGGAAAAGGTTTGTTTTCAGAGGTGCTTAAACTTTATAGGATAAACTTCCTTTTTGTGAAACGAATGGTCTTGCTTTATTAAGCCATATCAAGACTTTGTTTTAACAAAAGTGTTTTGGTTGAGGTGGGAGGGCG